TAACATCATGCTGAATAAATTTAACAATTTCCCAAACATTTTGACCATTTAAAGGAAAGAAATATTAATAAAATAACACTTTAGATATTTTCATAATTAGAAAAATTGGTACCTGCCCCGCCCACCCCTACCCCCATGTTGTTATAGCAACCATATTAAGACTTAATATTAATGCTGGATGCTGGAACTTCAGGATATAATAGATAAAACTTCAATTGTTATATACACAAAATTTCAGCTGAATTGAAGACTATTAAAGAAAGTTAGAGCATATAGTGCATTACTTCTGGGACAACCCTCGTATTATAAATACGTTGACAGCAAGAAGATTTATACAATTTAGCTGTAATATGAGATAACAATGGGCTCTAAAATCAGAATTATTGGTGTAACTAATCAAATTTTTATTTTATAAGCTTAGTATCATGTCCTAACAATTTAAATTAATTTTAAATAGTTATCCCATTAAATGAAGTTCGGAGGGATATAGGGAATGGGCCTCCGTCCGTCCATCTGTCCGTCCGTCCGTACGTACGTACGTTCGTTCGGGCAATAACTGAAATACCGTTGGCCCGATTTTGTTCATATTTTGTACACATATACCCTATGGGGGTAGAAGTTCTGCTCGAAAGCCGATTTTCAAAATGGCCGCTCATTTAAAATAGCGGCCATTTTAATGCCGATTTTACAGTAATTTAGGTGCAATATGTAAAACTGTGTAATAGCAATATCTTTAAAATGAAAAAAAGTATATAGGACATTAAAAAAGCTAGAAATGTAGATATTAAAGAAGCACATGGCAGCCATCTTGAAAGATGGTGTCCTTTACTTGTTATTTTACGATTTTTGCTGTAACTCGAAAAGTAGTGGAGTGATTTTGTTCATATTTGGAATGTGAATACTATAAGCATGGCACACTGTCTAATGACACTTTTCGTAGAAGGCGGCCATTTTAAACATAGTCGCCATTTTAACGTATTTTACTATAACTCGAAAAGTTGTTACTTTATCGACCTGAGCAACAATTCTAATAACGTCATTTCTGCGGGCAATATTAAACAAATACTGGATGATCAGAAGCTGGATATGGCAGAATACCTATACGAGAAAAAAATATTGGGCGAGACGGTGTCTATTAATTTCAAAAGAAAGTTTGGGTTCTAGCATTGCCTCATGGGACAGTCTATTTTCTACTAAATAAAATAATCAGGGTAAGCGCTTTTCTATTACTGAAGTTATTTGCTTGTGGAGATGCTTGTAGAGCCCGTATCGCAAAAATCATATATCCTTTCACCCCACATCATATCATATGCTTTATTGATGTAAAAATCCATTTTTATAAATAGTGGGAATAAATTCCTAACTCATCTAGATTATGATTTAAATGCAATATTATATGCGATCAAATGCTTTTTCCAAGGTTTAAAAATGTAAACAAAGCTCAGTTTCAGTGCTCAACAGGTGAAAACGTATGTAGGAATATAGGCAGAAACAATTTGCAGATCAACGAAAACAAGATTGTGTTCAAAGAAAGTGAACTAAATGGAACCATTATTTTTAATCATGTTGAATGCAAAATATAGTCAGACAGAATTTATTATTTTCAATTAAACAGATAAAATCAATATATCATGCTAATGACCTTTCCAAAAGCTGATTCATAAGTGAAAAATTTGTTGTTAACTTCAAAAGTGTCAATATCTAATATTTTTCATTATTATGGACCTCTTTTAAACCCCTCAATGATAAGTAAACGGTAATGTTGACAGGTCCTCAACGTGTGAAAACGTATGTAGGAATATATGTTTTATCATTTAAACATATCATTAACAATTGGCCGATCAACGAAAAACAAGATGATGTTAAAAGAAAGTGAACTAAATGGAAACCATTATTCTTTATCATTTTGAATGCAAAATATAGTCAAACAGACGATCTTAGTTTCAATTAAACAGATAAAATCAATATGGCATACTAATATTAATAACCTTTCCAAAAAAACTTCAAAAATATCAAAATTTAGTATTTTTTATACTTTTTGTGAACCCCTGTTAAACCCCTCAATAATTAATAGATAAGTTTATTGGTCTCTTGAACATCTAATGTACATCGAGATGAAATCAATATGTTATACTAGTAAACTTTCCAAAAGCCGATTAATGACTAGCTAGATAATCTGTTGTAAACTTCAAAACTCTCAAAATCTAACATTTTTGTTGACCCCTCCGTTAAACCCCTCAATAATAAGTAAAGGGTAAAGTCCTCAACAGGTGAAGATGTATGTGATAATATATGTCTTATCATTTACAAATATCATTTAACAATTGGCGGATCAACAAAAACAAGATGATGTAAAAGGAAAGTGAACAAAATGGAACAATTATTTCTAATCATTTTGAATGCAAAATATAATCAGACAGACGATCTTATTTTGAATTAAACAGATAAAATCAATAGGTCATGCTAATAACCTTCTCAAAAACCGATTCATGAGTAGATAATCCTTTGTAAACTTCAAAAATACCAAAATCTAATATTTTTATGTTTGTGGACCCCTGTCAAACCCCTCAATAATAAGTAAATGGTAATGTTGACAAGTGCTCAACATGTAAAAACCTATGTAGGAATATATGTTTTATCATTTCAACATATCAAAACAATTGGCGGATCAACAAAAAACAAGATGATGTTAAAAGAAAGTGAACTAAATGGAACAATTAATTTTAATCATTTTAAATGTAAAATATAGTCAGACAGGTGATCTTATTTTCAATTAAACAGATAAAATCAATGTGTCATGCTAAAAACCTTCCCAAAAAACAATTCATAAGTAGATAATCTGTTGTAAACTTCAAAAATATAAAAATCTAATATTTTTTATTTTTTGTGGACCCCTGTTAAACTCCTCAATAATAAGTAAATGGTAATGTTGACAAGTGCTCAACAAGTGAAAACGTATGCAGGAATATGTGTTTTATCATTTAAACCCATCAAAACGATTGGAGGATGAACAGGAGGAAACAGCTTAATTAAGGCTTATCTGAGAAATCCATTATCACTAATATGCCGAGTACTAGATTAGTACAAAATTAGTACTAAATTATCACTCGTGGCATGAGTACTCATGAGTGCACTTTTTCCAGAGTGCTAATTTATTACTACTTGAGTGCTATTTTAGCACTAATTTTGTGAAAATAAGGGTTTATTTTAGAACCGTTGTAGTAACGATATTTTAAGTAATGATTTAGTGCTACTTGAGCGCTCTTTTAGTACTAAAAAATTGCTCATTTAGCACTAAAATATTGTTCATTTGCTAAATAATAAGCACTCGGTAGTTATCATTCTACCTGGGATACAATCCACATGCTACCTTCAATTTAGTTATTTAGACTTACTCCCATATCAGCTTATAATTGTAACACATATAGAACTCACCATGTAATTTTAGTAATTTCTCCTTTAATACAACTTACCTCATCTTTCACTTATTCTAAGTATTAGCAGTATGAAGTTTATTCCATTTGGAATAATGTTTTTAATGAATCTGAATGCCATATATTTATCATGTAATTGTCCATTTATCTTTTGGATATTTTCCAGGTTTTCTAATCCTTTTGCGGGTAGTGTAATTGGCATCATTTCAATTTATATGAATGCATGGTTGACCCCAGTTTCACCAGTGTACTTTATAAAGACATTCAGTTCAGTATGTGAGACAGTCCACAACACGTGGAAATTTCAACATTTTGGAACATTTTGGGAAAAGTCTAATAATATATTTATCCATGTTTTCGTATAATTAAAATGTATTTTATTACGTATTGTATATTTTACTTCATCAATTAAAAAATATTTATCAACATTTTAATTTTTGAGTACTATTCTATCACTTGTGAAACATGTGCAATGGATTAGTACTCATAATATGAGCGCTTATTGAGTGATGAAAAATCAATGAAATTAGCACCAATTCAATACTCATGATATGTGTACTCATTTAGTACTAAAACATGCACTTAATTAGTGCTCATATTATGAGTGCTCATTGAGTAATGAAAAATCAATGAAATTAGCGCTATTTTATCACTCATCATAGGAGTACTCATTTAGTACTAAAATATGCAATAAATAAGTACTCGGCATATCTCGCGGTGTATTTCATTAACAAGATACTTTTTTAAAATCAACCAACTACATTATTGAGAGACCTAAACATGTTGTGTTTATGTCGTTTTGTTCCAATGAGGTTCGGAAAGATGTTTCATTTCACTCTGGAAACGTGATACCAAGAACAAAACAAAATTTTAATGTGTTTTCTAAAACAATATAGATGAAAGTACATATATATATTTCAAATTATATTGTTACCATTCAAAAGATGACCATTAAATTGACGATGTGTTAAATTTTTAGATTTTTTATGACTGCTTTAAGAGAAACGTGTGTTCAAAAAGTTCTCCATATCGATACCACTCTTTTAGAGAGAATCAGTACTTTTGAACTGTTTCACTAAACCAATGAAAACCAGTGAAATCTATGAGAAGTGTCTGCACTGTCCAAAAATGCAATATCTGCAGATCTACTTCAGTCACGACTTCACACGTTGGCATTTCAACATATCTGGTAAAGTGTTATAACTCTCTCTGATTTGTATGTTAACCCTTAACATAAAACGCTAGTCTAGTTTTAAAAGCTTCAAGCGTTTGCGACTTATAATAGCACCACGATGAAAAAATAGTATGTTTGTACCACGTTATCATTTGTCAGACACTTCATGGATGTTTTGCAGTTCAGAAATAGTTTTAGAAAAAATCATTTTTTATGAAGTTGTGAAGTAAAAATGTTAGATCATTCCATTCTTGGTCCAAGGGTATTTCTCTTCTTTCCATAATGAATTGACTAATAAGTGAAGTCCTTTGAATGAAGGAGGTTTCAGTCACGCATCTCACATGTTTGTCTAACAAGCGACATCTATTGTTACAGCTGTTGCTAGAAGCTGCGAAGACATAAGTGCAAGATGTGAAAGCTTTAAAAATAACAATGACTTGAACTGTAATTATTACTGGGAGAAATCATTTTGCAAGAAGACATGCAATTTATGCACTGACAACGGAGATGCTGGTAAGGAAATAGAATGTTATTTAACATTGTTCATACTCCCATGTTTTGCCAAAAAGATTTTAAAAATTGCTTGATAAATAAACCCATGTCGATCCTTGCATGATAGTGGTTGCTATAATTTGTATTAAGTAATATCAAGGACAGAGACATGTACAACACGTGTCTACCGATGGGAGACACTATACAGCTCTTTCATCTCGAATGTCAAACAGTTATCTATAAAGTGACAAGATTTTTAAGATTTTAAAACGGACACACCTAACTATTAAACTATCATGATTCACGGATTACCATTGTTATAACTATTTATAAAAAAAATATGTGATATTCAAGTTTTACAACATTTGTCGATAGGGAGTAAGATAAAAGTGTAATATTGAATAAATAAAATATATCAAACGGGTAAGAATGGTCGGTCCCGATCAGTGGTCACATGATCACGACGTCAGAAGAGAGGGGTAACCGGAAATCGTTCAGTTACCATATTTTCCTAATGTCTGGGTCACATCGGCTCCGATTTTCACTACGGCGCCCGGCCTATTGAGTATTTGTTCAAAATTAAATGCAATATTGAACAAAACACTCAATCGGCCGGGCGCCGGCCGATGGATCGGAGCAAATGTGACCCAGGCATTAACATGTGGAGAAGTTAACAATGTAAATCGTTTATATGAAAAATACAATGCTCACATGCTGTAGTAAACTTATAAAACCGAATCTTTTAATCAACTTTGTTTAAAAACAAATAAGGATTCGTGTTTATATCAGAAAAAATTAAAATAAAATAAAAAAGAAATTGCCATTGAATTTATTTCAGAAAAGACTGGTCCATTCCTGGATCAGCTACAGACCAATGCAGAAGAGAAACGCCAAGAATCAGAAGGTATCTAGCACTATTTTCACTAACTCACTAAAGCTTCAGTCACATTTGCTCATGGCGGCCGCATTTCGACTGACGTTCCTTTTTTAATTTTAAAAGAAAAAATGATTAATTTGGGATAAAGTGGAAAACAATATTTCCAATGTTATTTTCCCATAGGGAAAATAATGCAAAGCATTGTTTTCAGCATAATTTTGGACAAAACGCGATATATCAATGCATAAAACATTGGAGAGACAGGTGTGGGAAGAGCTAAAAATCAGGACAACATTTTTGAAAAATAATGTTTTTTGGGTGTTTGCACATTCTCTGTCTTAAAGTTCAGATTATTTTATCATCTCTATGAGTGCTTGTCCTGGAGTTCACAAGTTACAGCCACCTGTAGCTGTTCATTATCGGAGGCACTTCGTCCTCTATTTCCTCGAAACATAGGTAAGTTTTTAAAAACACATGCTTCGCATTCGGTGAACTACACGTCAAGGTAAGTAAAGCTATGAGACTTTCTGTTTAGGCATTGACCAGAATAAAGAAATAGCCGACAAAAATATGATAGCCCGATTCCATTTTTAGGTATCTTCTAATTCCAATTAAGGAGGTATTTTGCGATTCATGATCCACTCGCATTTCAATTATCGAAAATTTCATTTTTTACAAAAATGGCAGTCATTTTGAAATTCATAAGCCTGTTTGAAAATTTCTTCTTGAACAATGCTCATTTGTCCATAGCCATCAGCATATAAAATTTGAACGAAATCCGTCTACTGGTATTCGAGTCATCAAATATTTTTTTCTTTCAAAAAATTGTGGCCATTTTAAAATTCAGTTGCCATTTTAAAAATTCTTTATCGAGCAGAGCTCGTGTGTCCAAAGGCATCAGTATTTACAATTTGAACAAAATCTGTCCACTGGTATTTGAGTTGTCAAGGATTATATTTTTCAGTAGCCATCTTGAAAAAGTCTTCTTGAGCAAAGCTCCTTTGTCCCAAAGCATCAGCATATAAAATTTGAACGAAATCGGTCTTCTCGTATTTGAGTTATCAAAGATTACGTTCTTTTATAAAAATGGAGGCAATTTTAAAATTTAGCTACAATCTTAAAAAATCCTTATCAAGCAGAGTTTCTGTTTTAAAAGGTGACTGAAATGTTCCGCAGATATACCGTCGTCACCAGCTCATTTATTTAACTCATTTGTTTTAGTTTATATCGCAACCCAAAAAGGTTTGTATTAAAGATTCACTTTCCTGTTATCTCAAAATCTGCTCGGAACTGTACCATTGGATTGCTATGGGAAATTCCTCAAAGAGAAAAAGCGAGGGATAAAGGATTTTGTACCATTTACACTATCCTTCGGTAGAGAAATCATTGGTATACATGAAATATATAAGCGCAAATGTCAAAGGGAAGGGTGACTTAAAACTTCAAAGAAACCCAACAAGAAAAGCAAACTGTAAGTGAAAATCTGTCATAAGAAGAGTAGATCCTATTATTATTATATGTAAATCTTAAATGAGTGTTTTGATAACATAACCTGTGAGTGAATGGTAAAATACTGGCTGAACTCTCTCATTTTTCGGCAAACTTTAGGACATTGCTCTGTGGTTTCTAGGCAACACAGATTACATCACAATAACCAGTGTGCAAAGACAGTGATATACTGTAGGGTCATTGCTGAGAAGTGATTTTTTCTCCATATCTAGATGTTTGAGTGCCTATACAATGATGAAACTAGGGCAAAATGGCCATAATACCACATTTTAATCCATTCCTAAGTGGTTGCTAGGCAACATGATGACATCACAAGTTCTTAACCACTTTATATTCGATGGGGTACTATACTGTATATATGTGCAATGTTTTATTTTCCAACGTCTAAATGGTTTGGTAGCAAATACGCCCACACAGACACACACAGATAGACAGAGAATCAGTAAATTGTAGTAAGATGCGATTAAATATGGATTCAGCATTTTACCTTAGTGTAGCCATGGGTTTAGGAGGCTCTAGAAACAAAGTGTATTAGTTTAAGGTAACATCAAAGGTATCACTGGAAAGAGCACATTAACGTGAACAAAAATAATCTCATTTTATTTGATAATAATATACACTAAGGTATCTAATTGATATTGATTTGGAGCAATTCGTTAAATATACCTTAAAATGGGAATTTAAGGATATTATGACGTCATAATTGCCAGGTGAACAATAGAAACCTACTAAATAATACATAGGGTGACGGGATATTTTATTACCTTCAATATGGCACCAATACCATTAAGAATAGTTAGAAATTAAAAAAGTTATGGCCAATATTGGGTTTACCCTACTTTATGGCTAATGAAAAGTGGGCGTGGCACTTTGCATCCGTTTCCATGGTAACGGGCCATTTTTCAAAACTTTTCATTGTCATATTTAGAATCTACATGACAATATTATGAAAGTACAACATGTTTTGCAGTCAATCTAAATTAGAGTTCCATATTTGACCCTGCTCCCACTAGCCTATATATATATCCCAAAACCATGGTCTAACGTGAAAAGAAACAATGTAAAACACCCCTCCCCCTCCAATCGAGAACCAATATCACAATCCAGGACTAGAACACATTCATACTGACGTCATTACAATACATGTTGAAGAAAAATTGAAAAAATTGATAGGCAAAACTCATAACATCAAAAATAGTTGTAGATACTAGTACTCATAAAAGATAGAGTCTTCAGTCTCAAATGATGTGGGATAGACAAAATCCAGTCTCCAAGTCCAAAGGCAATTCAAAGGGTCAACATCCGTTCGCAAAGCCCTCATCATAATCCATAAAACACAACAATTAAAACAGCATTTATATTATTCAAAAGCGAATATGTTCAATGTTTCCAAGTCCTCTGAAGTGTGAAAAAAGAAAATACATGGGTATTACATGCCCGTAGCAACCTTTTTGTAAGGGGGGGGGCTCTAACTCCCCACCCCCACCCCCCCACCCCCGCAACCCCCCTCCCCACCCCACCCCCCGCAACCCCCCTCCCCACCCCACCCCCCGCAACCCCCCCCCTAAAAGAAGAAATTGCCCATGCTAATCCAAATGTATTGTAAAAGACAGTGGCGGATCCAGAAGCTAACAAGGGTGGACCCACACCCACAGTTAGGAAAAAACATCTGCGCTTGCGCGGAAAAACTTTTTAGAGCCCTAAAAACAAAATTTGAGCAAAAATTTAGAAAATCAAAGGCACGTTTTTTGAAAATTTGGCCCAACATGGAAAAAATAAGGCCCAAAGAGGTCAATTAATGCCCAAGAGGCACACTAAAGAGTCCCTACAATATTTTTGGGCAAACATTTTTTTCTGGGCCCATCCTAGGTCAGCGCAGAAATTTTTTAGGGCCCTAAAACCAAAATTTGGGGCAATTTCTGAAAATTTATGGCCTGTTCTTTGGAAATTTGACCTAAAATTGAAAAATAAGTCCCAAAAAGGTCACATTATGCCCAAAAAGGCCCACTTAAGAGGCCCTACAATATTTTTGGGCCAACATTTTTTCTGGGCCCATCCTATGGCCGCAGGTAAAAAACATTTTAGGGCCCTAACACCCAAATTTTGAAAATCTATGGCCCGTTTTTTGAAAATGTGTCCCAAAATTTAAGAAATAAGGTAAAAAAGGTCAAGTAAAGGCCAACTAAAGAGGCCCTACAATATTTTTTGCCTAAATTTGTTTTCTAGGCCCATCCTAGGGTCATGCGTAAAATTTTTAGGGTGAAAATTTATGGCCCGTTTTTGAAAGTTTGGCCTTAAATTGAAAAAAAATAAAGCCCAAAAAGGTCAATTAATGCCCAAAAAGGCCCACTGAAGTGGCCCTACAATATTTTTGGGCCAACATTTTTTTCTGGGTCCATCCTATGACCGCTCGAAAATCTTTTAGGGCCCTTTTGTGGCCCAACATTTTTTTCTAGACCCATCCAAGGCCGCACGTAACATTTTTTAGGGCCCTAAAGCCAAAATTCGGGCCAAAATTTTGAAAATGTATAGCCCGTTTTTTGAAAAATTTGGCCTAAAATTGAAAAAAATAAGGCCCAAAAAGGTCAATTAATGCCCAGAGGCCCACTAAAGTGCTCTACAATATTTTGGGCCAACATTTTTTTCTGGGCCCACCATATGACCGCGCGGAAAACCTTTTAGGACCCTAGAACCAAAATTTTGGCCTAAATTTTGAAGATTTATGGCCCGTTTTTTGAAAATTTAGCCTAAAATTGAAAAAAATAAGGCCCAAAAAGGTCAAGTAAAAAGGTCAAGTAAAGGCCAACTGAAGAGGCCCTACAATAGTTTTGGCCCAACATTTTTTTCTGGGCCCATCATAGGCCGCGCGTAAAATTTTTTAGTGCCCTAAAACCAAAATTCGGGCCAAAAATTTATAGCCCGTTTTCTGAAAATTTGGCCTGAAATTGAAAATGATAATGCCCAAAATGTCAAGAAATGCCCAAAAAGGCCCACTAAAGAGGCCCTACAATATTTTTGGGCCAACATGTCCGCGAAAAAATTGGGCCAAATTTTGAAAAATTATGCCCAAATTCGAAAAACAATGTACAGTAATGCCAGTTTTTTAATCTTAATTGCCCAGTGAATGTAGGGAAGAGCATGTTTTCTTCAAGGAAGCAAAAAAGTAGGTCAACATTTTTAAGGAGATATCAGGGGGGGGGGTGCTCGGACGAGCCCCCAGACCCCCCCCCCCCCAGATCCCCCCCCCCAGATCCCCCCCCCCCAGATCCCCCCCCCCCCCTGGGTACGGGCCTGTATTAATCCAAAGATAATCCTTGAATATGAGAAACATTTTGGGATTAAATGGTGCAATCTTATAGTCAATAAAATGTTTAAAGTGTATTGATGGTTTTTAGATGAAAAACATAAGCAAAATGCAAGAAAAAACTCCCCCAATTCATTCTACAAACAACTCCATTTCCTTTGGAAAACAAGTCAAGTAGCATCTCGTCTCGAGTCTTAAAGACACAAGTCATAGTCTTTGACAAGCGCTTGTACCTATTCTGCAAGCCCGCACCGATAGGGATATGATGGGTTCGAGCGACCCCTCCCCCAGCCAATTATTTTTGAATCACGCGGTTTTTCACAATTCTTAGCATTTTTAAGTAATTTTGGCAATTTTATAATTGTTATTAATGTTAATTCTTAAATGGATGCTTTTAAATGAATACATTTGAGTTTCAAAAAGGTTCAAAGTGTCATGCAGTAAAAATGTACAGCATCGGTTATACATCATACAGGTACATGTATTGTCTGCTTGTACATAATCTTGCCATCTCACTCCTCTCTCCTTTCAGATTATCATATATGTGTCATTAATGCATGACGTCTGTCTTATATTTTGTTACAGTTTGTGAGGACGAGAGTCCTGACTGTCTTAAAGCCAAGGTTGCTAACCGTCTGGACTGTGGATCTTCTACAACGAAACGATTCTGCAAGAAGACCTGCAACATTTGCGGCGATGGTGGGACTAGTAAGTAGACCACATCAGTGCCCTTCATGCAATTTTACTTTTACTTGCCATCTCACTCTCCTCTCCTTTCAGATTATCAGATATGTGTCATTAATGCATGACGTCTGTCTTATATTTTGTTACAGTTTGTGAGGACGAGAGTCCTGACTGTCTTAAAGCCAAGGTTGCTAACCGTCTGGACTGTGGATCTTCTACAACGAAACGATTCTGCAAGAAGACCTGCAACATTTGCGGCGATGGTGGGACTAGTAAGTAGACCACATCAGTGCCCTTCATGCAATTTTACTTTTACTTGCCATCTCACTCTCCTCTTCTTTCAGATTATCAGATATTTGTCATTAATGCATGATGTCTGTCTTATATTTTGTTACAGTTTGTGAGGACGAGAGTCCTGACTGTCTTAAAGCCAAGGTTGCTAACCGTCTGGACTGTGGATCTTCTACAACGAAACGATTCTGCAAGAAGACATGCAACATTTGCGGCGATGGCGGGACTGGTTAGTAAATCACACAAGTAGCTTCACGCATTTTTTGCCATATTACTCTACTTTCACTTGATTTAAAAGCGTGAGGGCATATTTACCCATACGCATATTGCATGAAGGCGAGGCCTGAGTGCATTATTACTTTGTGTAGTTCAACAACTCCAATGTTCACAATTTTGTCCTTGGTTATTTTATTTTCAGCGATTTCAAATACAAATTCCAAGGTCACATATGTCTTTTTAACACTTTTAATTTAATTCTTCTATGATGTCAGCGTTGACAGGTGGAAGAGAAACATACAATATACGCCCCCCCCCCCCCCTGATGGACTCCCCGTCGTATGTCAAAAGTGTCTGAAAAATGCCCCTTCCCAACACGCACTTTGCACTTATATGACAATGCGTTGAAAGATTCAAAATGAATCCTCTTCTTCTAAGGGATCGCGTTTCCCACCTCTTAGAAGGGGAACGAGTATACCAGTTCAAGATAAAGATGGCGTGTATTCATAACTTACGATATGCTTTATTAAATGAATAAAGTCAATAACGTCCGAACTACCGTAACTTAGATATCAAATGAATAACACATTAATCCCCCTCCGGTCATCCCGTTCAATTATAATTGTTTTCGAAATAAGTCTTTGACAAGCGCTTGTACATAATCAGGTGGCAAGCCCTGCACCAATGGGGGGTTTGATGTGTTCGAGCGATCCCTCCCCGAAGCCAAATATTTTTGAACCACGCAGTTTGTCACAATTCTTAGCACTTTAAAGTGATTTTGGCCATTTTTAATTATTAATGTTAATTCTTTTATGGATTCTTTTAAATGAATACATTTGAGTTTCAAAAATGTTCAAAGTGTCATGCAGTAAAAGTGTACTTGTAACATCGGTTATACATCATACATCTAACAAGTAGCATCTACTATTTTATATTTTCTGGCAGTTTGTGAGGACGAGAGTCCTGCCTGTCTTAGAGCCAAGAACGAGAACCGTCTGGACTGCAGATCTTCCAAGGCGAAATCACTTTGCAAGAAAACCTGCAATATTTGCAAAGGCAATGAGGGGATTGGTAAGTAAATCACACATGTGCCCTTTATGCCATTTTATTTTTACTTACCATCTTACTCTCCTCTTCTTTCAGATTATCAGATATGTGTCATTAACGCATGATGTCTGTCTTATATTTTGTTGCAGTTTGTAAGGACGAGAGTCCTGCCTGTCTTAGAGCCAAGAACGAGAACCGTCTGGACTGCAGATCTTCCAAGGCAAAATTACTTTGCAAGAAAACCTGCAATATTTGCAAAGGCAATGAGGGGACTGGTAAGTAAATCACACCTGTGCCTTTTATGCCATTTTATTTTTACTTACCATCTTACTCTCCTCTTCTTTCAGATTATCAGATATGTGTCATTAACGCATGATGTCTGTCTTATATTTTGTTGCAGTTTGTAAGGACGAGAGTCCTGACTGTCTTAGAGCCAAGAACGAGAACAGTCTGGACTGCAGATCTTACAAGGCGAGATTTTGCAAGAACTCATGCAACATTTGCGTCAATGGGGGGACTGGTAAGTAAATCATACATGTAAGTAAATAATACATGTAAGTAAATCATACATGTAAGTAAATCATACATGTAAGTAAATCACATGTGTAGCTGTCACACCATTCTCCTTTTACTTGCCACCTTGCTCACATTAGTGTGTTGATAAATATCCTGAATAGATGCTTAGTCCAAGATCCAAAGCGAAAGACTCCACAATTGGCACCTATTATTTTATCTTTTGCTGCAGTCTCTCAGGACAAGTTACCTGGAAGTCTTAAGATGAAATGTAAAGCTCCCACGTACAATCACTATATTATTTTACATTGATTGCATATTAGTATTCATAAACTAATTTTTTACTTTAAGTAGATGCTTAATTAGTCCAAGTTCCAAAGCGAAAGACTCCGCAATTGGCACCTATTATTTTATCTTTAGCTGCAGTCTCTCAGGACAAGTTACCTCAAAATCTTGAGATGAAATTTTAAGCTCACTACGTACAAACACTATATTATTTTACATTGATTCCATATAAGTATTCATAAACTAATTTTAAACTTTAAGTAGATGCTTAGTTGCTATCTTACTCACATCAGGGTGTTGATAAATATCCTGATTAAATAGTTAGTCCAAGATCCAAAGCGAGACTGCAATTGTCACCTATTATTTTTTATCTTTTGCTGCAGTCTCTCAGGACAAGTCACCTGAAATTCTTGAGATGAAATTTAAAGGTCCCTACGTACAATCACGATATTATTTTACATTGATTGCATATTAGTATTCATAAACTGATTTTAAACTTTTAGTAGATGCTTAGTCCAAGTTCCAAAGCGAAAGACTCCACAATTGGCACCTATTATTTTATCTTTCGCTGCAGTATCTCAGGACAAGTTACCTGAATGTCTTGAGATGAAATTTAAAGCTCCCTACGTACAATCACTAAATCATTTTACATTGATTCCATATTAGTATCCATAAACTAATTTTTAACTTTAAGTAAAGTGGATCGCTCTATTGAATGGCTTTGACTAGTATCTTACAGGGTGTCTCCAAAAATACGCCCAAATGTAAAGGGAGTAACTCATTTTTATTTGATATATAAAATGAGAACTTTGAACATGATTGGGAAAATATTGTTTCAATAAGCAGTTGAAAATTCAGAGAAATTCATTAGATAACGAGCTCTAAATGACTAAAATTCAAGAATAGTTCATCATCACTCGCAGACTTATTCCATATTTGTCTTAGTTCAACAGTGAAATATTATATTCGAAGCGTGACTTGGAAAAGACCGTATGGTAATGTCGTAAACAGATTATTCAGCTAAATCATTCGATTCTGGCCCGTTTACAATAATTTGACTTATTTGTTAGTATTTCATACACATTTTCTAAGATATATCCTATTGAATAATAACCTTATCACAAATAATACGTTGACCTACAGTTCTATCAGTTTCATAAAAATGACAATTTAGGTTACTTAGTGCAGTTTCGAACGAACCAGCGACAGATTTATCTTTGTATCTCCGAGCCGTTCATATATTAAAGGATTGCAATTAGGGTTGGTATGTATTTATATACAAAAGTTACATTTTATTATTTTCAGGATAAGTGTAGACGCGATGACTAGTGTTTTTCCGACCTGGACATAACAAAATGGTGCTTCGAAACGAATCCTGATATTCAATGACAACCCAAGCCTTCAACTGATTGCCTTCATAATATAATATAACTGATTTTGATATGTATTAAATTCAATTAAAATGTTCCAATAAAAACCTTTCATCTTTCATCTTGAATTCCGTGGATTATTCTTTCTTCCCTAGTTGTCCCTATACAGCCCAATCCTGACAAATACTAACTAAACTAATTCTCATGTACAGTCATACCAGGCATCCAACAATTGATTAGAACCAATGTGTGTTGCAAAACAGAGAAAACACCAATAGAAAGACCAAATGTATTGGAAAACACTGAAAGATCAAAATATACACTGTAAAACACAGAAAGACCAAGGTCTGTTGCAAAACACAGAAAGACCAAAATGTATTGCAAAACACAGAAAGACCAAAAATGTATTGCAAAACACGGAAAGATCAAAAATGTATTGCAAACACGGAAAGATCAAAAAGTATTGCAAAACACTGGAAGACCAAAATGTATTGCAAAACATAGAAAGATCAAAATATATTGTAAAACACAAAAAAAGATCAAAATTATTGCAAAACACAGAAAGACCATAAATGTATTGAAAAACAAAAAAAGAAAAAATCCCAGATTGTCTCCCGATTTATTCGAATGGTTAATTTAGTTGTTGTAACTCAGATATTCCTACGAGAGAGTCTAACGCTCTATAGTGACATGAACCATAATATAGGAATATCCTATGGTTTTGAAAAAATATCATTTATATCCATGAGTTGATATTGATATCTTCATGAGTGAGCGCATCTCAACAATTCTATCCTTTATAGGTTACTGAGTAGAGGTAAGGGGTTCATTATAAACCAATTATGTTAGTTCTCCCAATATGCAGTCTTCGCAGACGTTGATATCGGATGATCCAATTATGCTGTTTTTGGACCATCCTGATATGAGCTCATTTTCAAATCATTACATTTTCCAACAAGATGGGGTTCCAAATAGATCCCACAAGAGCGTCAACATGGTTGAAAAATTGTGCCTAGATTCATCCCCCCTTAATCACTGCCTCTCCAGATCACCCGATAACCCAAAATCTGCGACAACCACATTTAGAGAGAATTAACAGAATTAGTGTACAATAGATCCTTTACATCTATTCAGTCCCTGAAGGACAGAATTATTTGAGAAGTGAAATTCATTGTCTTAACGGAATATCAATGATGCTATTGACCAGTTTAGGCCAAAATCGAGGGCTACAATTGATCAAAATGGTGGACATATTGAACATCTGTTTATGTAAATAAAGTTGACAAAAAAACTTGTTTTTGCAAGTTTCGGAAAATCCGTTTTGAAACAAAAATGACGTAGTTTATATTATGAACGCTGGTTGACAGACATTATTATTAATTTGAATTTATGATATACCAAATTAAAGATGAGTAAATTCCCTATCCATTGGTATATAATATGACATGTTTTCATCAAGAAAATCAACATTTATTTTTGAAATACGAGTGTCCCATTTTTGGACCACCCTGTAGTATTACGTCTATGATTACTTATAATAATATTAACTTGCTGCTCACGCTTCATTAAATTATGTATGTGACGACATTTTATTACTCATGATTTATTTTTAAACTTTTCATTTTTCTCATAGATTAACCATAATGTCTCAAGGGGGTTGATTTTTCCATGTTACCTTTTGCTAGTTTTAATTTATTTTTTTACCTTGAGTTACAGATATGACACTTTTTAATGTTAAAATTAATTATGTTTGTCGTCTATTAATCAGTACTCTATGTCACAATATTGACACAAGTCCTTTAAGTCAGTGTAATATAATACACATATTTCCTTTACATCTTTTTAATTGTTAGTTAATTACTTGTGTATTCGGTATTGACCTTGGCCAATTATAGGTCAGTTTATTTCCTCATGCACACTTAGTTATATTACAGACATGTGCTGGTGTAGATGTGGTTACAGGTGAATTTATGTCTAAGGGTTCTTGTGCAGTGATAGTGATGGTAGTGAAGCCTAGTTAATCAAAGTGATGATGTGAAGCCTTAAACATTGAGAACGTGAATTGACTGTGTTTGTGAAGTGTGACTTTGAGAAATTGATGAACATCTTTATGGTGCTAAGAACATTAATAGTAAGCTGTACAGTATTCGTGGTGCATGAAATGATTGTAAATAGGAGACTGCAACTCGTGACACGTTCAAATATCATAATACCATTTTGAGAGACCTACGCATTATCGAAACGGACATCGTTAATTCTACATTCTACTAATACTGCAGAAGACTACACTATTTCTAGTGATCTATAACACACGCTGCGGGTGATCATTCCGTACAATTAAGAAACACTGCTATACGTACAACAGAGTAGTGTTAATAAAAGACAATCTATGGTCTCACGTATACATTGTAAAAATTGTACACATATATACTTTGTGAAGGTTGGTTGTATCTATTTTGAGTAAAACATTATATTGATATGTAAAGATAAATGTATAAAAGTTCAAAGGAACTTGGTTAGAAGCTAGCATTTATTTATAATTCGTTAGTTAATTTCCTTGTAAATAGATTTCAGTGAAACTATATATATATGTTTGTTCTGTGTGGTAAGGTTTTAAAAATAAGAACCCGACCCTGTGACACCCTATCCGTATGTTTGTTACGGATACGTATAGGTAATGCGTATTGCAAAATGAGTTTAAGATTAACGTAAAAGGCTACGAAACCGTATGCTACAATTTATGATAAAATTAACATCCTAATTATAGAATGAAAACCATGCGATGGCTTATATGGCATATACCAGTACATGTCACCTCCAAGAACTGTTATATACTTCGGAGAGACCTTGGTGTAGCTACTGTAGATGGGAGAGGTTGTTGCTTGTGGGTCCGCCAATGGGGCAGTGACTTAAGGCGAAATGTTAAATTTCTAGCATGATCCAGCAATGAGAGTGACCAAATAGTAAAGTTAAACAATTAAAACCACGAGAAAATGGCTGATTTCATACATTTACAATAAACAAATTTAATGAAGAATGTGTAAATTCAACAATTTCATGCATCATCACATGGCATCGTTTATCGCATCAATGAATGTGTTCGACCACTTAATTTCTATGTAGATCGAATGAGAAATGTTTGTTGTTACTATTTTAAAGTTTAATGGATAATATTTGATCTAGAAATGACATAATTTGTTGGATAAAAACATACGTTTTCGAATTACCTATCTTCGGCCATTTATAGGTAATTACGTATCGTAAACCCTGTAACTTAGGTAAAATACCGCTGATTGTAATAACAAACTACGTATAGGTATAGGTAAATGGGTTATTTACGCTAATCTTAAACTCCCTAATATCAGAAACTTACGCCAACAGCATCCCCTTTCAACTAAAATAAATTGATGTCTTTCAAGTTTGTAAACTAAATGTTGTTTTATTCATACTTAATTGTTTCAAAAGATAAAATGAATCCCTGTCAACATGGACAATGATTATTTCATTACAAATAGCAAAAATCGTTCATCTTATAATTTTATTTATGGAATGAACTCCTTCAAAGAAATCCATAGGCGAAATAAATTATAGTCGGATTATAAAAAAAAAATCCAAAATAGCAGAAAATAGCAGACATTTTCAATTGAACGGCCATATTGGAAATTCCCTCTCTAGCAGAGGTCTTACGGCTATTAGTGCTAAAATGGCATAAACCTAAAACATTTTGCCAGTATTTTAGTAAGTTATCACTTAATTCAATATATTTACTATAGAAATCTGCAATATTAGAAAATTCCATAGTTGACTTTTTGAGAAAAGGACACTTTAGTAAAGCCATATTGATAGCGGTTTATAATGGCAGCCAATGGGGATTTTTCAAAATTCAAACGGCAATATCTTTTGAACTAGGCGAAAGAAAAAACTTTACCCTCTGTATTTTGAAGATAATCGTATGATTGTAACATACTAGGAATATTGGCTTTTTTGCTCTAGAACTGTTCTGCAGGGGGTCTTTTGAAGATTGAGGATTAACATGGGGCTCAATACAGGTTTTTAATAGTTTTATGCGTAACTTAACAGCTAAATATTTCAAAAATAAGACATTATTTTTAGAAATGTGTCTGTTCGATTTTTTAAATTCAATGTATTAACTATAGAAATCTGCAATATTAGAAAATTCTATAGTAAACTTTTTGAGAAATTAACACTTTAGTAAAGCCATATTTATAGTGGTTTATAATGGCAGCCAATGGAGATTTTCCAAAATTCAAACGTCAATATCTTTGGAACTAGGCTAAAGAAAAAAATTAACCCTTCCTGTTTTGAAGATAATCCTATAATTGTAACATACTATGAATATGGGCTTTACTACTCTAGAAATGTTCTACAGGGGGTCTTTTGAAGATTGGTGAATTAACATTGGGCTCAATACAGGTTTTCAATAGTTTTATGCGTAACTTAACAGCTAAATATTTCAAAAATAAGACATTTTTAGAAATGTGTCTGTTCGATTTTTTTAAATTCAATGTATTAACTATAGAAATCTGCAATATTAGAAAATTATATAGTAAACTTTTTGAGAAATTAACACTTTAGTAAAGCCATATTTATAGTGGTTTATAATGGCAGCCAATGGAGATTTTCCAAAATTCAAACGTCAATATCTTTGGAACTAGGCTAAAGAAAAAATTTAACCCTTCCTGTTTTGAAGATAATCATATAATTGTAACATACTATGAATATGGGCTTTACTACTCTAGAAATGTTCTGCAGGGGGTCTTTTGAAGATTGATGAATTAACATTGGGCTCAATACAGGTTTTCTATAGTTTTATGCGTAACTTAACAGCTAAATATTTCAAAAATAAGAAATTTTTAGAAATGTGTCTGTTTGATGTCTAATTTCCGGTGCTCTGCATGGTTCAAGCACCTATAAGGTCTTGAAGACATTAAATTGGATTACTTTGTCAGAGAGAAGAAGAGGCCATCTTTGCTCATTTCTATTTAAAAGTAGAATCAATTTATCAGCTTCATATGTCACTGAATT